CACTTTAGCTCAGTTCTTTATCTCTTATACTTGATCGTTGTTCTCGAGCTTGCCACTTGCTAATCAATTCCGCTACAAATAAAGTCTTTATATCACAAGATTCCTCTATTGTTTAAATATTATACTCAAACCTTTCTGGTAAGCTTATCATCATATTGTCCACCACCTTTTAGTCTGAATTGGTTTAATCAGATAGACTTATTTTATTTACAATCTCCACAAGTTTGGCATAATACGTTTTCACAATATCTCCTTCATTCATCCTTAACATCTCAAATTCTCTTTTGGGAGTTAAGAGTTTGATAGTCTTCACTCTATCTCTTCTATCGAACTCCTCTTTTATCTTCTCTCATGCTTGTTTAGGTGTTCCACAAATCATTATTCTTGTGAAAATCACATCTGAAAGTGCTGAATAAAGATATGTGAGAGCCTTTGGTTTCCCTGACTTTGCATCTTCATAAATCTTCATTTGTGCAACTGTTGGATTTAGTCAAAGTGAAGGAGGATCATCTTCATTTTCAATTGTTTCCCATAGACTAAGAGCTTTGAGATAAAGCTTCATCTTTTTCACCCATATCTGATAATTTTTTTCTGTAAACATAGGAGGATCTGCACCACATATATAGCTACTAGATTTACTACACGTGCGTTGCACGTGGTGGCCTCATCTTGTCATATGATTAAGTCTGAAACAATAAGCTAACTTTTTTGTCATAATATATTTTTGTAAGTATTAGAACAGTCTCGTATACATAATTTTACAGTTAATTGTATGCATACTACATTATTAAATATATTCAATATGACAGATAATAATTTGTGTGGACATTTCTCAATTTCCAATTTTTTGTTTCTAAACAGTACTCGATTATGCTCGTCTAATCGTCTTGAATTTGATGCATGTAACTTTATGACGATGTCCATAAATATATGATACTTTCCCGGATTTGCAAGTCATTTGTAATTACCAATATCTAAGTCTACACAATAGTTGTATTTTCTTTATAAATTGCATGTTGATGCTCAACTTTTCTCCTCTTCAACCGAACCTATCAAATACAACCAATGACATTTTCATTAGGTTCATGTAATGTGTTGGTTTTGTTCCTAATTAATTACGCTTTAAAAGATAACAATCGTCTCTTACCTAATACTTCCTTGTATACAATATTTTTTGTATATGTGCTCGTCGTCGTATCTGGTTGTTCAGTCATTACCAATACTATTTTGTCGTGGTCATTGAGATTCCCCTCGATAGTGCTACATATAGTTAGTTGTCCATGGGAGAAAACATGTTGCGGAAGATACAATCCAACAGTAGGGATTGTTTGACCTTGAGCTTTATTTATCGTCATTGTAAAACAGAGACGTATTGGAAATTGCTTGCGAATAAATTTAAAAGGATATCCTTCATTCTCCGGCGGCGATAATTGGATTCTTGGTATAAACACATGTTTGTTGCATATTCTCCTATGGTTATTTTGGCATGTATGACATTGTTGTCAAAACCTCTACAAATTAATCGTGTCCCGTTGCATAAGCCATTTGCTGGATCCAGATTCCTCAATATCAAAATATGTGCATTCTCTTTCAAATCTAACCTAATATATAGTATTCAAATATACATTAGTTGTTTAATATTTTACCTCAGCTTTTTTTCATCTAGTTTAGCGATTCGCAGTTATCTTATAATTGCAACGCTAACGTGGCCTTTTTCATTACCTTACTTGGTGTGGTTGTAATATTTTCCATTCCCCCTTTTTATGACTTCACGCCTATATATAGGATGAGGTAAGTTAATTGTAGCATATAATTAAGGAAATGTTTGTGGTTTTTCAAATTGTTAGATTTAAGTATAGCTCAATAAATTATAGTTAGACCATAAAATTTGGCAGTAAGGTTAATGAAATATTGTCGAGAATATTAGAAGATTAGCTTGTGTACCAAGTGTGAAGATCTAGTGCTTTTGGAAACACTGGATTGATCAATACACTGCTCACGGGTATAGTTAATATCCCAAAAGTGCCTAGTTTGGAAAACAACATATTAATGTGAGGCATCAAATAATATATTCAAAAAATTTACAATTAGCATATCGAAGAGAGTGGGTATACCTCTATATTTTGAGACTCTCACGTCACATAAGCCAGGAACAGGTTGATCATCTTTCAACTTTTCCACAAATGCACCGTCGTGTACTGCAAAATCTCCCCATAGAGTAACAGTTGTACGCTCCATGCTAGATTTTGAATTAGATGAGAATTGTGCATGCATCAGGAGATTTATATGGACGATCGAGAAGTCGCAATGGCAACTTACAGTTCATTTGTAACAACAATTTCATGTCTTTTGCTATCGCCTTTTACAATGATAGGATTGACAGTGACTAACATGCAAAGCAAGTCTAAATAGAGGTGAGGTGAGTTAGTGATACATATTAAGTAATTGAATGTAGAAATTTAAATACGTACTGTGAATAGTTACCGAATATAACACCATTTGGCAATTTTTCTGCGTGTTCCAAAGAAACAAAACCTTCAAGAGAAGTTATGTGTTGAAACAACATGGTCACTCTCCTTTATGATTGTGTAATCGGTAATAGAGAGTTCAATCTCTTTGTGCACAGAAGTGTAGTTGGGGTTGACCCGATCCAACAACCCATTAGCAATGTAGTAACTCTTATTTGTCTTTAAGAAGTCCTTTCATGTGTCAATATGCTTATTAAATAGTGTCTCTTGCAACTTTGTCCCCTAGTATTGATGTAATTGACATATGAGTTGATTAGAAAAGTAATATAGGGAGTAGATAGGAATGTTAGCATATAACCTAAGCAAAACTATTACCTCGTCGTCCACTAATATTACCATTTGGAAAGTCCATTCATGACGAGAATTCTTGTATGACATAACAGAACCCTTTCGAATAACAAATACTCGCGTTACCCAATTAACAAAGTATTTTGGTATCTTGTTATTGGAGACACTCTACTTTGATAGTTCAACTTCGTTAGAGGTGCCAAGGGAAAAGTGAAGTTCATTATTCATTCCGTGCCATAATGTGTCGGTGAAAAATACAGAATCATTAAGAAGATTGTAGCAATGTTAATGCAAGTAGTCCATTGAAGATCATAACAAGATGCATAAGGAGAGTGAAAACTTACAATTTAAGATGTGGAGTGAAATATGTCAATGTCGAGTCCAATACTCTTATGTGTTTTGCGTAAGGAAGATCAATATTGGCCTGAGGAAGTATTGCAAAAAGGTTAATTGAATTCAAATGTGCAGATGTACGCTTGAGTAATAAAACAAGTACAGTGGTAGAAAAGAAGGAAAAGAGGGCATACCGATGCGTTATTTGCAGAAGTTGATTTGCTAATGGAGAATTTGTTGTATGTGTGGTTGATATTTATAGGGGAATATGCATAGGTTGTGTTGGTTGGAGTATATATTTGGGCGTTGGACAGATACAGTTCATGGGAAATGTGGTGACTGTTCAGTCAAAGAGGACTTGGCGTTTGTATAGTAAAAGTGCTGGTTGTTTGTCGTTGTTTGTTGCATTAGGTTTTTTTTTTTAAAAAAAGTCAGGGCTATTTGTGTCATGTTTTTAAGTGAGTGAGGGGTATTTGTGTAATCTGTGTAAGTGAGGGGTATTTACGTAATTTAACATTCATTTTTTGGAGTTCATGCTTTTAAGGTAGTATAGATAGATATAGATATAATCTTCTCAAAGGTTAGTAAAGACCATACCTATCCAACTACTATTGTACTTTCTTACAAAACATATTCCATAAAACGATGACAACCTTTCCTCTACAAACGAAATAGAATATTAAAAAAGAACCATTAAAAAAGACTATGTAGAAATATCTCAGTTTCTAACAGGCATCATGGGTCCAAAGTCCCTCTTTTGGATATTCGTAGTTGTGTTGATTGATAGCGTCAAGTATGTCACCTATTCTTTCACGCTTCCGTTTAAAAGATCTACTCCTCTAGGGAAGTCACCTGAAGATGGAGTGTTCATGTAGCAGAAACACCGTTGATAAACACTTTTGTAGATAGCATAAGATCTACTAATAGTCCATCTTTGTTGGGCTCTTCATGACTTCATCTCATTGCTTTAGAAGTTTTTGAAGACATAAGCAATCATTGCAATCTTGATTTTTAAGAAGAATACCTTAGGACATTGGCTGGAACATTTTCAGTATTATTTTTTCATTTAGCAGCCAAACAAATTTTGTACTCAATATAGTGTGCTCTCCTATTTTTTTTCTGTCTCTTGAAATTCTATAGTTCAACATAATTTATACTATAGTTGGAAATCAATTCATTAAAACAAAGTACGAGTTCTAAAGATCACTGAAATCTCGGTACGACCCAAAAATTTAGAACAATTTGCAGCTCCACACAGACATGAAGAATTGTACTTCGGTACAATGCAAAATTATAGTTACATGCCAACTCCATTCCAACAGATATATCTTCTTTACAAAATTATCTTTCTTTATACATTAATGACACCTAATTTTCATGATGTGATTTCTCAAATGACTAACCTAATTAAGGAATTGAATATGCATGTTTGTTCGGAACAGGGGAAAACTGGAGAGGTTAAGAAGGGAGGCCACCCACATAGGTGATGCCATCCTTTATTCATGGAGGTCATGCATTCTCTTCTTTTATCCTTTCTTTTCTCTTTCTGCTAGGTGTGTGGTTGCATAATCATTCTACACTTAATTGCTTAATTCACTGACATTCAAAGCTTTCATTTTCCTAGGTAAGATGTCATATCATTTCGGAGAAATTCAAATGTTTTATGGTTATTTGCTAATGTAAGGAATTACCAACTACAATTGTCATTTTTGAGTAAATATATAGCCCACAAACATAATACATATAACTTAAAGGAGTGTTTGCTTTCTTCTTTTGATAATTAAAGAGACATAATGTATTATTATTGCAGAAACATGACACATAAAGAAGAGAACAATCACCCTCCATAAGTTAATGAGGATTATTAGTAGATCTTATGGTATCTACGAAATGGTTTTTTGATGATGCTTCTGCTACATGAACACTATCAATAAATGGAAGCATGCAAGAATAGGTGACATATTTGACGCTATCAATAAGCACAACAATGAATATCCGAGAGACAAACTTCGGATCCATGATGCCATCTCCATCACCGTCAACCAGAACAGATACTACCAAGGAAGAAAGTGACTTGTTCCTGCTAAAATTCTCCCACTTTCCATCTGTTCCAGTTTGTTCTCCAGAGCTGTGAGAGGGTCTAGAAAGGGAAACGGGAGGGCCATTGAGGATCCTTCTATTACTGTGGAGGCGCGTGCCATTCGGCCTTTCTTCCATAGATATATCTCTAGCAGAAGATGACGTATCAAACTGGAACATTTCTGTACACATGCCTGAACTCAACAAAGGTCCTGCCTAAATGAACATAAAAATGAATTAAAATACTGGAAAGCAGAAGGCTATTCCAAAAGATAAAATTTGCTTGGAGCATATACTGTGACTCAAAGCAATTAAAAGTACCTAAATTCTCAAAGAAAACACTAGAGGAATTCATTTAAATTAAAAAAAAAAAAAGGAAAAAGAAAAGAATTAATAGTCAGTCTAGATTTAACAACAGTTACCGGCAAGACCTTCAAGGTACCACTCCTGCATAGTTGACTTTACATTCTCTTTCTCCTCAGATCCAAGAATGCTTTGTCCCATTGCAGGACTTCGATAAAGGCGAGAATGGATTCCTGGGATAGCAGGGGCTAAATCACCAAGAACTGCGAGGCCAGCCTCTCTATTTTTCTTATCAGCACTTCCATGAAATGCCATAGCTTTCTCACTTGCCAATACGGATTGAATTATCAAGTTCCCATCAATATCAACAAGTTTATCATTCCTTGGGACATATAGAGAGGCTGCCAGAGGATCACTACCATTGCCCACATGAGCAAACTCATCTGCAGCCTTATTGGTATTTTTCTGATTGCTTTCACCCTGACCTCCCCGGCCACAATGGGAGCTATGATCTTTACCACCGTATTTCCCAGAACAACCAGTCCGATTCACAGGCCCATCAACAGTCAAAACTCTTCCATGATGTTTTACATAAAATCCACTCACAAAAGACTCTCCACTCATAGATGGTTCCCTAATACCTCCATATCTAAGTTTCAATAAAGGAACCAACCCATCAAAGAGAAGCATAAAGAACAACACACCAAGGAAGCTAACACTAGCAACCTTCTTTGTTTTCACCTCACTCTTCTTTTTCTCCACTTTCTTGCTACTTTTTGGCGCGGGTGGTAGTGTCTGTGATTTCAACTTTGGAATGGGAACCAATGGCACTTGAGATCTTTGTCGGCTCATCATATAAGATGGTGTATATGAAATCCATGGAGGAGGATAGGGATAAATCCCGAGGGGTGACGGCACTTGAGCATGTACACTAGTACCTCCAAGTTGTGCCTTTAGAGTTACATTTTCCACCATTGCATAGGATAAATTTCTATTCAAATGTTGAATTGTTGATTGAAGTATTCTAAATTTATTCTCTAATTCCTCAACATAATGTTTTTTTCTTTTCCTTGACAAGTGAGCACTTTCCTTATTCCTAATTTTCCTAGCCATCCTCTTTTCGTCCTCATGATTGTTAACATTGTCATACAAGGAAAATATAGTGGATTTTTGGTGTTTGCCTACATCATTTGAGTCTTCACTACTCTTTTTCCTTTTCAACAAATAGCTACAGTTGCTTATATTAGCATTGACACCCTCTAATTTGAGTTTCTTTTCTACAACTCCACCTTTTACTGAATTATTTCCTAAATTTAGGGGAAAATGTACCGGTTTGTTCGAAACTGGAGCTTCCCAAAGACAATATCCTGAGGTCGAATTGAATTTTCTAGAAGCATCATCAGAACTCCCCATCAGTTGACTCTTAGGTTGACCAAAGCTATTCGGGTTCATCTGACTCAAGTCCAAACCCGACTCCGACCCGAGGCAGTCTGGCAGACAATTAGGGTTTTGAAATGCATCATCATTGGTAGGGTTTGGAAAACTATCATTGAATGATTAATCAAGAATGATGGCATCGGTTGTGAAATTAACATTTGGAAATTCCATAGGGAAATCTTCGCCATTTTCTTGGTATGTTGTGGTCATGTGTAGGGCGTAAAAAGTACGGTCAAGAGGTTGAACTGCAAGACCGTCGAACTCCCTGATGAAGTTCGCTTCTTCCGCCGGCGGTGGATCGGCCATATCTACGGTTTGTCAACAATTTATCAGAGATTTAGAGAGAGACGGGATAGGAATAGAGAGGAAACTGAGAGTTACTTTTCTTTTATAGTTTTATTTTTCGACATTGTTAAGATTGATCCATTAGATTTTGTAGATATCATATCTAAGAAATAAAAAATCATATTCTTGATGTTTCAAAAATAATTTTGTAATATTGTTTTTAGTTGGTAATGTTTATTTTACCAATAAGTGCATGTAAGAATACATGAGTGCTCTCTTAAATGATTAAACCTTGAGAAAAAAATGTTAATGTTTCATTGAATTAGTGAAGTGTGTAAATTAATATGCGATCCAAGAACTATTTGATTCTATTTATTTTCTCTATGCCTCTTTATTTCACACTTAGAAGGTCATAATCTAGAGTTCGGTGACTTGTATATCTTTATTTGATTCTATTTATTTTCTAAGGATGTTAATAAGTGCAAAATTTATGGGGCTTCTAGATGAAAAAATAATGCCAAAGAATTTTTAGCCAAGGTCCTTAGGTATTTTTTGTTAAAATCGAGGTTGCAAAAATTGTATACGTCTTTGAAAACATTTAAAGAAATGAGATGGCATCATGAAGAGCACCACAAAGATGGAGTTCTATGACATCCTCTAGATTCTGAAGGCTTATGTTGTACTTTATTTTAATGAATAGATTTTCAAATTTAATAAATATTGTGTTGGGCTATAGAATTTGAAGAGACAAAAAAATCAGGAGAGCATATTCTCTCAATAATTTCAAATCTGAGTATAGTTCAAACGAATAGATATTTAATCAAGCTTAAAGTCTGAACAATTATATGCTAAAACTCAAGCAATCAGTTATTGTCTAGTTACATCGATTAAAGCTCGAGCAAGAATTGTAATGACTGTTGATTTTGTTACTGCTATTCCATGCCTTTGTTCTATGTAAATTTGTTGCAATTGAACTTGCAATTCATTTTGATATGTCTTTGGATAGATTGCAAGTTATTCTCTTTGATAGATGGCTGGATAGATTTGCAAGTTAAAAAGAACCCTTAGTGAATTGTAATTTTTTTTTTGAGATGCATGGTAGCCAGAGCCGTCTCAATAAGTTTGGGGGCCTAAAGCCAAATTTTATAAAGAGGCACTATTGTTTTTAGTTGACGAATATAAATTGAATAATTATAACATATTTAGTGTAATCCTACAAATGAGGTCTGGAGAGATAGGATATATGTAGACATTATGAAATAAGAATGCAAATAATGTAAATTTTCAATGAAAATTATGTAATATAAAGTTAAAATAATAAAACATGACTCAAATTTTTTAAAAATATGATGATATTAAGATAGTATTGCGATGAATTTGATAAGTTGATAAATAATATTAAAATAGTGTTGATTAGTTTTAGTGCTTTAAATTTGAATAAGACGCCAAAAACAAATTTGATCTTTTTATAAACACAAAACAATAGATTTTACATAATGTAGAATGATTGAACATTTGAGAGACTTCACAATATTCAATAATGAAAGAATAAAAAATAGTGAAAGGAGAATAAAGAGAAGTATAAGAACACAATACTGTTGGTTCATGATAATCGTCATAATATAAATGAGCTAGACAATAAAATAGATAGCCACATGCGAAACTAGAAAGGATACTACAATTAACTAGACACATAAGAATCCAGGAAAGTGTCACGCCCCGAGCCTACACCCTGGGCGGGACCGGCACCCAGAGACCATTACTAGCCCCAAGCGAACCCTTGGCCTGGCTTTCTAAACTCAGCGGAAACCTAACTCAACAGAATAACTCAATGCAATGCAAGGCTATAAAACAACTTAATTGTTACATAACATGCCCAAAAGGCAGATCTTGTCTCAAAATATAATATTTACATATATACATAGATGAGAGACTCAATACTGACTAAGATGGATGTTGGGATAGACCCCGCAACATCCTAACAAAACAAAACTAAGAACACAAAATAACAGAGTCCTCCGAAAAACAAGGAGTCTCACCACTGACTCTGGAGTGCTCAGCTAGATCAATGGCGAGCTGGATGCTGATCCGGGGTACCTGTGTCTACATCGTCATAAGATGTAGGCCAACTGGCATCAGTACATTGAATGTACGAGTATGCGAGATGGAAAGCTAAACCACAACTTAAGCTTGAAAAGAGTACAAGAGAACACTTACCTTGGCTTTGTTCGACTCATGAATAACTGAACTCAATATATAAAGCAATAATACACGTGCAATATATATATAGCTTGTAAAACAGTGTAAACAACTTAGCTCGTTAATGATAAAACAATAACAAACTCAACTTTACTTATATAAAAGTAATATAACTTTAGTGGGAGATTCTTTAACCGACAACCACCACTATGAGCCCTAGTGGTGGTACAACGTTTTACCTCACGTTGCCCAAGGACCATCCTATACCTTGCCATGATATAGGACCTTACTTTAACTTAGTGGATCCTCTAGCTTAATCTTACGTGGTCATCTAAAAAGAATGACCCGTCAAGTCCCATGTTGGCGCATGGTTCTTATGGAGAGTTGAGTTAATATGAACTCGTGTCCCTAATTCGGTGCTCAATACTACTCCCAAAAATACTTTGGCTCATAAGTGTCTTTAAACACATCTTTCTTTAGTTGAGATAATTATTCAAAACTTAGCCCAAAGGCTCTTTTGGAAAACATGGTTCCCCTCTTATTCAAATGAAAAAAAAAACATTTATGAACTTCTTCGGGAATACTTAATTCCTTAATAGCTTTGGAGAAATGAACTCAACTTTAAACTCTTGACTTAACTTGAAACTTGAGACTCTTTACTTAGATTGAACTCTATACCTTTACTCGACTTGAACTTGAACCTTAAACGAAGGTAAAACGTTTAATAACGACTCTTGAAAAGCTTTAGAGACTTGCTTGGACTTACTTCTTAACTTTGCTTGACCTGACTCTAACTTCCCTTTGACTTGATACTAACTCGTCTTGAATTGGATTATGTATTCAAGGTATATGATCACACGTTTATGGATGAGTTCTCGACGTTTAGAAGTACTTTGGAGTGTTGGAAACAACTAGGAAACATAGGTACAATTCCAAGGAACATGCATGAGAAAGTATGAAAAGAAAGGGGAAACTTGGCGTCCTTGGCGCTCTGCAAGGTGCGGAGCGCCAGCCCTCGAAGCTCAGAAGGGGCCTGCTGGTGCTCTGCTAGGTGTGCCACCCCAAAGTCTGGACTTCAGAGTCCCTTTTGGGGCGCGCTGGCAGGCGCGACACGCTAGCCCCTTCCCTAGAAAGTCCAACTTTTCTCCCTCTTTTTCCCAACTCTAAACCACCCTAACTTCAAAGGTTTCCACCCCAAACACTAAGGATCCTAAAATACCTCAACATACAAGAGATTCAACTCAAAGACACAACCAAATCATGTCCCAAATCAACAAGAACTTTGACAACACAATCTACAACATCAACAACACAACCGACAACTTCAACAACACAACCAATCTTTTCTTGGAAACAAAACGAGTTGGCGTGTGGGGAAAAGGACCAAACCCACACTATGAACTCACATACCTAGTAGGGATCACCCCCGACGATATCCACGATGATCTCCTTGCTTGCTCTTCTCTTTCTCCTCTTCTTTATCTCTTCTCTCCCAAGCCCTAGCTCTCACTCTTTAAAATGGGACAAAATGATCCAAAAATCAGCCTAACACAACAATATAACCCCAAAAGAAATGGCTAGGGAAAAGACCAAAATACCCTTAAAATTTCCGGACGGATTCCCTGCCAACTGCCCAACTTTCAAAGGGCATAACTCGCTCATACGAACTCGGAATCGAGCAAACTCGGTGGCATTGGAAAGATCATTCCACAAGCTTCTCAATCATAACTGGAACTACACCTAACTCATCCTGATCTAGGAGTTATGGCTGCTCAAAGTTAACCAAAACTCACCTTTTTCCCATACTTAACCAAATTTCCAGAACTTTAAAATTCTTTCCAAAAATGAAAATTTCCAATTCTAAGCCTCTTCATAGTTATTTCAAATTGTCGGGTATTACAGAAAGATACTACAATCAACTAACAATATTCAATTTCTCAATTATATTTTCTATACAAAAAAAAAATTCTTCAAATTTATCAATACATGAAATTTTTGTTAACAATATATATACATCTTTGGGAGAAAATGGGGGGCCCAAGCGATTGCTTTAGTGGCCTTATGGTGGAGACGGCCCTCATGGTAGCAGATATTGTTGATTGTTTGTCTATTGCGCGAGCTTAGGACTCTTATTAATTGGCGATCCAACTTTTTTCCTCATCAAAACAGTCTACTCTTCGTCAATATTATCTTTAGAAGTATGTCTTTACCTTTGAGAAAATTTCCTACTTCCTCAAAATTTCTAAGTGAATTTTTACTTGAAAAACATTAGCAACATCACTTGTAGCACTTCTACTTTTAGCAATTTGTTGTTGTCTAGTTATATAGAGATTGAGCTTAGAAGAGGCTTCATATTTTTATCCCCTCGTACTTGATAATTTTCAATGAGGTGACAGAGAAAACAGAATTATTAGTGTGCTTATTTTCTTCACTAATTTTAGAGATGACTGAAATATTGGTGGAACTCAGAAAATTTAAAACAATTTGCAGCTCCACTCTGACAATGAACAATTGTACTCTGTTATCACTCCAATTTATAGTTACAAGCCACTCCATTCCAACAGATATATCTTTCTTTGCAAAATTATCTTTCCTTATACATTAATGATTCTTACGATGTGATTTCTCAAATGACTAATGATGGTGTAATACCACAAATAAAAAATATTACAGTTGAAATTAAAATGAACAAAAAATGAATAAAGCATTATTCAGGCTGAGACACAGATATTTTTCTCTCTTTAAGGAGGTTCAAGCCCACTATGGCATCATCTACACCGATCTAGCAGTATCACTTTTGACTTGTCCCTTCCTGGATATAG